GATGTGAACAGATCTGCGGACGCCTGGCCAAACCTCTCCCACAGGTGGTGGACTATTTCTGGATGGAGTGTCAACACCCTGTAGCTTCCCCTCAGGAGAGCAGAGCCGAATTGATGTTCAAAACACCGGGAATGTGTGTCCCACTTAATGACATGATATGTGCTATCAGGTTGTGACTTTGCAAAGTCACAGAGCGAGTGGCTCCATGACCATTTATATGTGTCGCCATTGTATTGTCTGTCCAGACCAAGACAGGACAAGTTTTCAAAAGCAGCAGAAAAAATATATACCTCAAAGCCAGAAAAACTGCAGTCAACTCCAGGTAATTTATATTTACGCACAACGGACCCTAAGGGGCCTGGAGTCTCCCCCATGAAAACAGCCCCCACCCTGTCAACAAACCATCTGTTGTCAGAGTTTTGCCTCGTAATAACTGTACCAAAGGGAACACCAATAATGAACACTGTAGAGTCTCTCCAGTGACTTAGAGCCAGTAAACATTCAGGGAAATTCTCACTATATGGCTGAGTTCACGTCTCAGGGAGGACACCCAACCCTGAAAATCCCACATCCTCAACAGTCCCTGAGCACCTCACTGCAGAAAGGCCCGAAAAGAAAGTTTGAGGCCTAGATATTTTATACTCTGAGTGGGAGATGTCACTGATGCCGAAACCTAGGCCAGATAGGCTGTGTAACAGTACCTGTGTGTTTTTCCTCTGCTTCCTCTTTGCTGTAAGTGCATACATGAAATATTCTAAATATGATGAAGAGTCCCAAGTCCCGCTCCCAGCTCAATGGCTTTGGAGAGCAGACACTGAAAACACCACACCACTGAAATTGGTTGGTCTCATTGCAAACTAGTCTGTAACCCCTGCCAACAATGGTCTCAAGAACCATGAATGGCCTACACATGCCCACCAATCCTCCATCCGGCCAAGGGGCCCAGGAGGATGGAAGTTCAAAGCCGGGACAGCTGCACTCTCCTTGGGCGACCCAAAAAACCCAAACACGTGTACACGTCTTTCTCTCCTTGAATTGTCCCCACAAAGCATTGAGGAGAGGTGAATAAATTGAAGTGGGGGGCACTGAAGGAACCTGTGCTCCTCCTTGACTGTGTATATCGGTAGAACAAAGATGGCCATTACACAGCTTAGATTGGAACTGGAGAAAATGTCTGACTCTCTCCATTTCTTGAGAGAAGAAGGGAATAGTTAATACGTACTTGGAGAGGTTAGAGGAGTGATCTCTGTGAGTGCTGCCTACTAAGACCCTGGCAGCCACTACAATTCCTAAGTTGAACATTGTGGATGGTGGGATTGACGGCTTCAAGCAGCAGCAGGTGTGGCAGCAACAGCAACAGAAGACTTTTTCCCCCATTGCCTACCAATCTACAGACCCTGCTACTCAGGCAGCTGGGAAGTAGGACCGCTGAAGCCTATATTACACTCCCTTACTGGCATAGCCACAAAGCCCAGGTAGGCAGTGGTTGGTGTGGCATGGGTTTATGGGGAAGACAGAGGTCAAAAGCCAGAACCTTAACCTGCATCTTCCTCTGGTTGTTTTCGCGCTGCATAGCAGTTTTTACCTCCTCAAACGATCTCCTAGGCCATTGTGGCTGGTACAGAGAATCAATAATAACCTGCTTATCCCGGCCAGGCAGGCTGGAGAGACTGAGTCACAGAGATCGCTCCCCTGCAATGGCCATGCCCATAATGTGGCCACTGTATTGCACCCCTAGAGACCCGGAAAAATGAGATCAGCAGCAATACACATCTCCTCCCAAATCATGGGACTAGCTAGTTTTATAACATGTGGGTATGCAGTAATCCATCAACTTCTCCAAGAAGAGTATATTTCCTCAACAAAAATGTATCATTACAGCATAATAGATATTCCTGAAATCAGAAAAACCCACATTCGTGG